TGCATTGTGCTTAGTTGCTGGCTGGGGCTAAACTACGACAGAGGGAAAGAAAGTGTGTGTGCTTGTAGCCAGCCTTATATAGTGTTGCCTGCTGCAGCTTCTCTGTGAGGGGCCTTGATGCTACAGATAAGACTTGTATGTTTGCTTTGCCTGTAATGGGTTATTAGCCTAAAAACTGCAGGTATCTTCCTGCTTTTGCGTAGGCTGTGGAAGGTCTGCCTTTGCTCAGAGCAGAGCCCTAAGATAGCTCTGTGTCTGTGTGTTTTCAGGGAGCCTTTAGATGTATGTAGGTGTGTGCAGCTGCTGAATTCTACTCCAGAGTATCTTCAATGAATTGTAATCAGCCATTTTCAATCTCCTCCTTTCCAGAAGGCTTGTCAGGTTGGTCTCAGCCTGTCATGGGAAATCATCCGATGCATCAGCAGCTGTCAGACCCAGGCACGTTTTCTCAGCATCAGCCAATGGAGAGAGATGATTCTGGAATAGTGGCTCCCTCAAATATTTTCCACCAACCTATGCCAAATAGTTTTGTGGATTTTTCTAAAGTAAGTTACAGAGGGTTGGATTTAGTCTATAAAATGACAAAGGACTTTGTTATATCTCCTGTACTGCCTGTCTACACTGTACGTGTGTGCCTCTTCTACCACTGCTTGCTGCACCTAGTCCTGAACTTCATTTCATTCCAGTACTGACTAGAAAAGGTGCCCAAGCCTGGTGGCACATTTAAACAAAACCAGAATTGGTAGATTGCAGATGTTCTTTTGTCAAGTAGCTGAATGGCTCCATTGCTTTCTAGTATTTCATTTCTCAGAGGCTTAGTCACTCAGAAATGTTACATAAGCCTTGCTCAGCTCTTGAGGCTGAGTAAAGATTTCCTTAATGCTTTCAGTACAAATCATGCCTGTGAATACTACATGCCTTTCTGAAGGAAACAGCAGGATGAGAGGACCACTTGTAAGTCTGTGCCTTGTATGTTAACACTGGAAAGTTAGCAGTTAGGCAGACGGATGTAGCCAAGCCATAGTCAGCTCAGCCACCACTGGAGGAATGTCCAGGATGATGTGCTCAACAGCAGCATGTTTCAGAAGTAGCTGTAGCATGTGCTCTTGGTATCTTCTAAATTGCAGAGCAGGAATCATTCAAGCATGGGAAAGAAATCTCATAATTGCAAAATGCTGCAATTTAGATGGCCCTTAGTAATTTATAGAAAATCTTCAACTCAGTCTTGTAGGCTCAAGCTGTATACGGGCTTTGCTGAAGTGCAGCCCATATGCACCAAGGTTATCACGTGCTGCAGAGGTGAGAGGAGGGAGCACTGGGATCACTTTGTACAGCTGCTGTGTCTGGCTTTATGGGGTCATCTGAAAGTGCTGTGCAGAGGCTGCTGCATGCCGGCGAGGTATAATTTCAGGAAAATGAGTAAACTGACTTGAATCCCAAGCTCTGAAGAGTCACCATGTTCTATACTCTGCCTAGGTGTGCAGCGATGCCCTGTTTCCTTGCATTGCTGAGATATTTGCCAGTAGGTGAATGTTATGTATGGGTGTGAACTGCTTCTGTCATCTTGGCAAATGTGGTACTACGGTCATGCTTCACAACCACTGCCTTCACCGACAGTGCTTTCTCTTGTTCCCTCAGGGCCTACCAATCTCCATGTACGGTGGCACTCTAATACCCTCGCACCCTCAGCTAGCAGATGGCCCGGGAGGCCCCCTCTTTAATGGACTCCATACTCCAGATCCCGCCTGGAATCCCATGATCAAAGTTGTTCAGAACTCAACAGAATGTACTGATGCTCAGCAGGTAGTGTGGCTGCCTTTTTCCACCTTTGCTTACCTAGGGCTTTTATGGTGTTGTGCTTTGTTTTGGTTTTCTTCATTTTTGGATAGGTGACATTTTTTTCAGTTCTTTGATACTAGAATTTAGATTGTTTGCATGACTTTTCCCCTACAGTGTATGTGTGTTTTATAAAAAAATATATGGCGCTGTCTGTACCAACCCTTTCAGGTAAAATAAGCAGTATCTCAAGACTGTTCAGCCAGGTAACTGACTTTGTTATAAATGAGAGGGTTTATATCCATACTCTGCATCTTGCAGGTTGTCAGTCAAACCTTGGCCAAAGCTGAAGGTGGCTCCCAGCCTTTGGACAGTGTGGTTGTATGTTAAGGAGAAGCCTTAAGCTTGCCCTCTAGTGGTTAAACGCTTTGTTAAAGGAACCTGTTTTTGTTTTCATAATAGACTTGTCTTTTTATTTCTTGCTGTAGATTTGGCCTGGCACCTGGGCACCTCACATTGGAAACATGCATCTCAAGTACGTCAACTGATATAAAGGGGGGGCGGCGGGGAGTGTCTATCCTTTTCTAGCCTTGTTTGGGAATCTTTATGATCTTGAAGAACCCTGAGGATTTTTTAATGTGCCTAACTAAGCAATTTTCTGTTGGCTGTAACAATTGAAACTTGATTGCCCATTGTATACGAACAAATTGATTTACCTATACAAACTGATTCTGTTGTCCAGTTAGTTTAGCCATTTTGAACTTAAAAATCAGGTGAAACTAGTGCTTTTGGCTAAACACTACTGAATGTTCCTTGTATGCAGCAGAGCGCTAGCTGATTACATTATTTCAGCCTTTTAGGGTGGTAAATACATGTATAATTGTTTACATATTTAAAAGGAAAAGCTGAGTAAATTTCATGTCATATAGTTGCTCTACTTTACGTAGCCTTTATTAATGTGAAATATTTACCTGAATATTCAATAAAAGGCAAACAGTATTTATAGGTTGTGTGTGAGAATTTTGGAAGAGGCTGTATGCTGTTGTCATCAATAGCTGCTGCCATGCCCAGTGATGGATCTTTTCAATGTCACGTAATTAGGACGTGGATGCAGTCAGGGTTTGGGGGAGGGTTTTGATCCATGGTTGTCTGAGATATGAGGTCTGCTGAGTCCTTCCCCCTGCCAGTTGTTAGCCTTTTTTTTTTTGTGTGTGTGTTAGCACAATTATGCTTTTTTTTTTTTGCTTCTGGAATTAGTTCTGCTGCTTCTACACTCTTTTTCCAAGTGGGTTGCCTGAGACATCAGGTTTTGTTCAGGGGCTGGAAATAAGTAAGGGCTGAGTTGACAACATGGCAACTGATGGCACCTTAGTTTGCAGAAGGTAAATAGGTAGCTTGTAGGTAAATGCAGGGTTTCTTCACCTGACTCGCTGTGACCAGCTGCCTAGAAGCAGATCTTAGGAAAGCATGGACCACTTCCCACTAGAGAAAAACATAATATATTCAATTCTAAGCTTCTTGTAACCCTTTACATCTGGTAAGAGCTTCTCAAGTCCTTTCCATGAAGAAAAGGATTTTTGCATCCTGCTTAAGATGAATGTTCATTCTTTTCCCAGGTGCAGAAGTTCTCCACTTTCTGCACTTGGACCATGCTTATTTCTGCTTTTGCTCAGTGGCAATGCAGTAACTACACTGAATATTCAGTCCATTCCTCCAGCAGGTAACTGCAGTGCACATAGTGTCCAATCTAATGGACCACTTTCAGTGGTCTCTCAGACCAGATGGAGACTTCTCCACCTTCTCCAGACAAATCCTTACATGCAGCAGCAGACTTTCCTCAGGAAAAGCATGAGGAAGGAGTACTGAAAACCTAAAGTGCACAAACAGTATTCAAGTACTGTAGGCAAATAAACCTCAGAAATGCTACTGGATGATATATTCGGGTATTTTTCTGAGTATTTGAGGAAGAAATGCAAAAAACAATGAACTGCTGCTGCACACCTGATAGTGCAAATGCCAAAGGAGAAACACTTGTGTTAACAGTAATTATATTGAAAACAAATAGTATTGTAGTGCAACAGGTGTTTGCTCTTGGGGTGAGTTGCAGGGAAGGGCTGGGGGGGGGGGGGGCCTGGGGGGGCTAAGGCCCCTCCCCACCCATGTGGCCTCCAGCCATCTCTGCCTGCCCCATCCCAGAGAGCTACAGTCTTCTCATCCCAGAGGGCTACAGCTCCACACCCGGTGGCACTGTCTACTCCACTGTGCTAGGGGGTGCGGGGTAAGACCCAGCACAGGGATGGGGTTGTCCCCTGAAAAGAACAGTGGCCTCAGCCACCTCATCCCTGCCTAATTTAGGCAGCTCCTCCCTGAGTAGCTCTTCTCCTGGGCTCTCCACCTTGCAGCTTGGCCCTTAGGGGCATGGGTACCTGCTCTGGGCACCAAATCCAGGCAGGCCCATGGGGTGGTGGCTTCCCCGGCAGCCCAGAGCTGGAGTGGAAAAGGGAACCCCAAAGCTTTGTAGGAAGGTACTGGTAGAAGTTAGGGCCATCACTGCCCCATGGTACCGGGGTGAGCAGGCAGAGGCAGTGCCTGGTGCTCGCACTGCTGAGGAGCAGGCTTCTGGCAGTGCCTCTGGGGTGGTGGATGCAATGCTGGTCCTCAGGGGTAGGTCATGCCCGGGCATGGCTGGCTGCAGCTGGGGCAGGCGCAGGGGGCTAGCGCAAGTCTGCTCCCACCCAAGTTCACCAGCCCTGGGGGAAGGCACTGGGTGGCATGGCTCCCTCCAGGGGTACCCTAGCCCAGTCCTCTTGCCCCACTTCTAACCCCCCACCAAAGCCCCTGGTTCAGCTGTCAAGCAGGTCCTTTTCTTTGCTGTCTGTCCTCAGAGTAGTGTGTGCCCTGTCCCTGAGCTGGGCATGTTTCTGTTGAGGTGCAGGTGCCCACGCTGTGGGTGCTAGCTCCATTGTGTGCCTCTGGTAAGTTTATCTGGGGCTGGGAAGCCCAGCCCAGTGCTGGCAGGGCCACAGCAGGTGCAGGTTGCGTAACCATGTTTGTGGTGCCAGGAAGGGCCTGGCCTGTGCAGGAGCTCTGCTCCCTGCCACCCTGGGCTGTGCTCGCTGCCAGAGCCTGGCAGGGAAATGGTGCTCGGCTGCAGGGACAGCTGGGCAGGGGAAGGCAGGCCTGGACCAGGTGCAGGGCAGTAGACATGGCATGCAGGCTGGCATGACCTTGGGGATTGCTGGCAGGTGCTCGGGACATGGGGGGAGGCAATGCATGCCCTGGGTGGGCACTGCTCTGGGGCTGTACACCCAGCAGGCTGGTACATTGGAGGAGGTGTCCCATCAAACTCAGCATGTTGTCCTTGTGCAGGGCACAGCAGGGTGGCTCGCTGGCTGAGCTGATGGGAATGGGTCCCCAGGACACGTCCTCATGGTGCCAACCTGGGGGCACCCAGCCTTCACTGTTTGATAGCTGCAGGGAGACACCCCTGAGCCAGCCACCTCTGGGCAGGGTGTGCTGGGGACCTGCCTGCTACCTGGCTTGAGCTGTGTGCTGAGTGCCCCAGGGCTGGTCCTGCCTTCAGGCAGCACAGGGGTGGCTGCGGTGTCAGCTGCCATGGGGCACCCGTGTCAAGGCTGGACCCTCCTGCACTGTTCCCTGGCAGAGCTCCAGGAGCCTCAAGGGAAGGAACAATGTGGGGAAGAGCTGCTGGGCAGGACGGGTGTCACAGTCTGCCATGTGGAAAATCCCACAGTGGCTGTAGAACCAGCTGTGTTCCCTGTGGCCAAGCGCTGGGTCCCACCCCCTGCTCTGGGCTCAGGCCATGGTGCTTGGAGTTGGGGGTGGCCAGGGGCCAGCAGTACCTGACAGCCCCCTGCTTTTGGCAGGTACCCGCATCATCTACGACCGCAAGTTCCTGCTGGAGTGCAAGAATTCACCCGTGGCCAGGACCCTTCCCTGCTGCCTGCCCCAGATCCCCGGTGTCACATCCCTGGCCCAGTCCAGTCTCGTCAAGCTGGAGGAGCTCAAGGAGCAGAATGAGAATGAAGAAGCCATGCCAGGTGAGCAGCCCAGGCATGCAGTCCCTGCCTACACACTGCCTGGAGCATGAGGCTCCTGCCTGGCCGCAAGAACACGGGGAGATCCTGGCTCAGCCCCGGTTCCAGCTCCTTTGCCCCTTTTGCCTGCACATTTCTCCCAAGCCAGCCCCATCCTAATCCTGGCCCTGTATTCCTCCGTACCCTTGCAGATCAAGACCAGTTTGAGATGGACATCTGAGTTTCCAGCTCCCTGTCTCCAGGCCATGGCTGGGCCTGTTCCTGGGCCTCGTGGAGGTGCTGGCACCGTGACCAGGCTGCAGCCCTCTCTGATGCTGGGGATGGATGTGTGACACCTCAGGCTCTAGCACAAGTGGCTGGTGCAATTGCCTAGGAGCTCATGCTTGATCAATAAACACCATGAAACCCCTGTGCTGGCCTGGTGCATCTCTGTGTTGGGGCTCAGCTGGGTCCTCAGAGCCCTGGGGAAGGGAGCTAAGAGGAGCTGAGCAGCACCAGGAGCCCTTTGAGAGTGCAGAGGATCTCTCCCTCCTGCACTGGAGACCCTACAGGCTGGGGGTGGTGAACGCAGGCCCTCAGGGTCTGCTCCCAGGCTTGGTGCCACATGCAGCCTGTCCTAGTTGTGGGTGGGGCAGCTGATGAGGCCTTCCTGTGTGGGAGGGAGCAGCACAGTGCAGTCTGCTTGGGCTTATCTGACCTAGTAGGTATCACTAGCACTGTGATGTTTCTCCCTGGATCTCCCCGTCCCTGAGGCTACCCATGTCTCTCGGGTCCCAAACTTGGGTCTAAGCTGTGCTAGAACAGGCAGGAGCCCAGATGGGAGCATGGGCTGTAGCTGCAGCACAAACCCTGTCTGTGCCAGGCTGCTCTGGACTGGCAGTAGGTCAGCCTCTCCAGCCAGCCTAGAACTCCTCAGGGGCTGTCTCCTCCTGCAGAAGAGCTGGGCCATGTGCCTGCTGCTCTGGGTCCTCCCCCTTACTGCTGAAGGCAAGGCCAGAGGGGGGCCAGGCTTTGCCAACTGGTGCAAGCAGGGAAATGCATTGCTGCCCACGTGACCTGGGGCTGCTGCCAGGGGCATTCCTTCTCTTCATGTCTTCTGGGCTGGGACCCACCCTGCCAGGGCAAGATCCCCTTGCCCAAGCCTGAAGCTGCTGTGGCCTCACCCAGCAGTCCTCTCTCCCGCTGCTTCTGGGAGAGAACCAGGAGCTGTCCCATGCCAGAACCCCAGGGCAGCCGGTAGCCAGGAGCAGGTTAGTGCTGTTTATTAAACATCATATAGCGAATCACCACTAAAATGTCACAATGACTAAAATACCCTTTTCCTGGGTGACAACTGGGAGGCAGAGGAGGTGCCCACACCCCCTCAGGGAGCAGAGGCCCTTCTTCTGCTAGTGGCCCTGGGTGGGCTGCCCTGCTCAGTCTGCAGCCTAGTCCCTGGCATCAGGGATTCTCCTGGCCAGGCCTGGTGTCAGTGTTGCCATCCATCACTGCAGCCAGCTCTGCAGCAGGCAGGCTCCTGCGCCGGCCCCTCCCCCCCCCCCAGCCACTGGCTCACTTCGTTCACGTGGTCCACCATGAGTGAGCGGTGGATCTCATCAGCTGCATCCCAGTGCTGTTGCTGGAGCTCTGCCAGGAAAGGGGAACCCATCGGTGGTGTGGGATCAGCCTTCCCATGGGTGCCCCCTGCCTGATGGCCTGGCGTTGGCCACTCACCTTGCACCAGGAGGCTCATTCTCTTCCTCACTGGGGCCGACAGCTTTCCCTGAGCCCACATATCCCCTAGAACTGTCAGCCGCCGCCCGATGTCGTTGCACACTTGTTTCTGGAAGCAGAGCTGAGCTGGAGGGTGGACCTGACCCCCACCAGTTCTGGGGAGCCCCCAGGGCAGGGGTGGCTCTTCTCACCCCACAGACATCTTGGGAACAGGCACCCTGGGGCTGCTGCCCCTCCTGTGCCCCTGCAGAGCGTGGGGCAGAGGTGGAGGAAGGGGCCAGGCCTCACCTGCACCGTGGGGCGGCAGGCATCGAGGGCCTCCTTCAGCGGGGCAAGGACCGTGTCGGCGGGCACGCCGCACTCCTCCGGGCACACCACAGTGCTTGGCCTCCTGCTCTCTGCCTGTGGGGCAGGGCTGATAGGCCCAAGAGGGGGTGGCCCCAGTGCTCGGGGGGGCAGTGCTGTGGAGGTAGCAGGGGCACTGGCCAGGTCTGAAGGAGCACCTGCAGGGAAGAGGCACCAGCACAGAGCCCTGTCAGCCCAGCCCCAGCTGCAGGGATG